GACAGAGCAAGACTCTGTCTTAAAAAAAAAAAAAAGAAAAGCCCAGTGTGGTGGTGCATGACTGTAATGCCTGTAGTCCAGCCACCTCGGGAGGCTGAGGCGGGACAATTGCTTCAGTCTGGGAGGTAGAGGCTGCAGTGAGTGGTCATCATGCCACTGCATTCCAGCCTGGGTGACAGAGCAAGACCCTACCTCAAAACAAAATAACAGGCCGGGAGCGGTGGCTCACACCTGTAATCCTAGCACTTTGGGAGGCCAAGGTGGGCAGATCACTTGAGATCAGGAGTTTGAGACCAGCCTGGCCAACAAGGTGAAATCCCATCTCTACTGAAAATACAAAAATTAGCCACGTGTGGTAGCAGGTGCCTGTAATCCCAGCTACTCGGGAGTCTGAGGCAGGAGAATCGCTTGAACCCAGGAGGTAGAGGTTGCAGCAAGCTGAGTTTGTGCCACTGCACTCCAGCCTGGGTGAGAAAGGGAGATTTCATCTAAAAAAACAAAAAATAAATAAAAATAACAAAAACAAAATAAAACTCAGGTTTAGGGGAGAGACAAGGATGAAGATAAAAATTCAAGTGAGGCCAGCTTATGATATGAAAGAGTACTTAAAGCCTGAACGAGGTCACTAAAGGTGTAAATCCAGACTTCTGTCATTCATTCATTGAGCCGGTTTCACGGAGCACTGCAGTATGCAGGAGCAGCAGGGAGGACAGCCATGAAAGGCAGCTGCCCCCCCGCTCAAGAGGGACCAAGGGCCATAGACTGGTCCAAGGTGCTGAGAGCATGCTCATCTATACGACTGGAATAGTGAGTGAGTGAACTGGCTTCTGGCTGTGTCTGAGAAAATCACCTGGGTGGAGGCCGGGGGGGGGGGGGGCTTTTAAAAATACTGATGGGCAGATCCTGTCTCACTTTGCAGAGATTCTGATTTAATTTAGCATTTTCGTGGGAGGAGCCATGGACATCATAACTTTTTTTTTTCTTTTTCTACTTTTTTTCTTTTTTAGAGACAGGGTCTCTCTCTGTTGCCCAGGCTGGAATGCAGTGGCATGATCGTAGCTAACTGCAGCCTCAAACTCCTAGGCTCAAGAAATCCTCCCACCTCAGCCTCCCAAGTAGCTGAGACTATAGACGTGTGCAACCTTGCTTGGCTAACTTTTTTTTCTTTTTTTTTTTTTTAAGAGACGGGGTCTCCTTATGTTGCCCAGGCTGGTCTCAAACTCCTGGGCTCCAGCCAGCGATCTTCCCACCTCAGCCTCCCAAACTGCTGGGATTACAGGTGTTAGCCATTGCAACTGGCCCATTTTTTACCTTTATATTAAAGTATAGCACAGTCAGTTACAGATCGAACTCCTTCTTCTCCTCTTTTCACTACTTCTCCCCTTCTCACTACTGCATTGACTAGTCTTATAAATAAATAAGTATAACATATGTTCAGGAAAGTGCACAGCTCAATGAATTTTCAAATTGTACAAACCGTGTCACTAGCATCCTAATCCATAAATGAAAGTTTAGACCAGCCCCTAAAAAGCCCCTTCGTGGCCCCACTCTGTAACCATCTTCCCAAAGCCCCCAGCTCTCCCTTCGTTTTTTTTTAGAGGGAGAGAGACGAGGAGAGATGGAGTCTCACTATGTTGCCCAGGCTGATCTCGAACTCCTGGGTTCAAGCGATCCCCCCCAGCTCCAGCTCAGCCTCCCAAAGTGCTGGATCACAGACGTGAGCCACTGCGCCCGCCCGGCCTCTCCTGACTTCCAACTCCCGCTACCCTCTCCTCCCCAAGATGCCCCGCCCTGCCCAAGGCCCCGCCCCCAGGCCGGCCACCACCTCTCACCCGACAGCACCACCTCCACCAGGTCGCCCTCCTGGATGTCTCCGGCCGAGCGCACCAGCTGCAGGAGGTTGGCCGACGTGGGGTCATGTTTGAAAAGCAGGATCTTGTCGTAAAGGCCGTAGAAGCCACACTCAGGGAACTGAGGGGCGGGAGAGGGATGTGGCGACGGAAAAGCTCAGAGCCGCTTTCAGCAGCGGGCGGACTGTCACCCTCCCAGGGCAGGACCGGCTGTTTCCCCCGGAAACGCAGAGACCCCGCAGGCCCTCGCTTCCTGCCTGCCCCCTCCCAACCCCAGCGCGAGCCGGGCAGGATGCCAGCGCCCCAAGTGTGCGGGGAGGGGGCGTCGGCGTGGGTTTGGTGGCTGGAAGGGGGAGCTGGGGTGGGAGGGAGAGTGGCTCCGGGAGCGTGGACACCTCGAATTTTCCGGAACCTGGCGGAGGTGGGAGGGGATGCTGAATGAACACCCCCTCCCCTGTGCCCCCTCCCCAGGCTCACACACCCGCCCCCCAGCTTCCTTCCTGGATCTGTCTATTGTTGTCCCAGTTACCTGGCTCGAGGCCCAGCACTGGGGTGGGGCGAGCTGGAAGGCGGACTTTTCGGGGCTCCTGGGAAAGTGGGGGGGCGGGGCTCTAGGACTCGAGGGGGCTGGAGATAAGGGGGGCGCCTCCTACCCGA